CTGTCCAGGAACCAGACCCTGCCACCTCCCACAGGCAGGGTAGACGGTGGTGATCACTCAAGTCTCAACCATGCCATTTTCTCAGTAGCCAAAATATTCTTTGTGATACTCTACCCTGGAGTCCACTGCCAAGTCCATCTTCCCCCCAAAACTGATGTGCACTGCTTTCCTCCAAACCAGCTCAATTGCTTCATGTAACAGGTTGGAATCTAGGCACATTGAAGTTAAAGAACTTGTTCAACTGATAAACCCGAGTCTCCTGTCAGCACCATGCCCTTCCTGCTCCTGTTCCCAAAGACTAGATTACCCACAGAGCAGGGCAAGGATGGGGGAGACTATGACTGTTGTTTGAATTCTAACCATGCACACACTAAGCGTATTTGCAAAGTGCCTACTGAATGTCACAAACTATTCCTGGGCGCTGGGAATCTAGCAATCAAGGTAAAAAAAAAAAAAAAAAAAAAAAAAGTCAGGTAAGTGCAGGAAGTCAGGTCACTCACTGCCAAAGAATAACTTCTCTCTGAGGAATCGTGGGCTGGGGATGAGGAGCCAGCCTGTGATAGATGGTCAGGGAAGGACTCTCAAACAAGGAGCTGGGAGCTTCATGATATGAACCAGCCTTGAAAATATGGAAGGGAGAGTACAGTGGCAAAGAAACAGCAGCTTCAAGCCCCCCAGGATTTGTTGAGAGGGTCAGAGGCAATGTTCAGTGCTGAGAGCCAGAGTAAGATAAGGATGGACAGGGACCCTCTGTGCTTGGAGGTGGTGTGTCACCTGGACAGGAGAGGTCCCAAGGGAGTGGAGATAGCAGAGATGGTAGATTAGGATTAGTAGAGCAGAAGTGGATACATTGAATATGAACAAAACCTTTGAGACATTTCACTGCGACTAAGAAATGCAGCATTACCTAGAAAAAAAAAATTGGGATTAGACAGAGATTTCTTTTTTTTAATGAAGGTTACTAAGGCATGCAAATTTGTTAATGGGGACATTGGAAGAGCAGGGAGCTGATGAAAAGGGAGGAACAATTATAGATGCAAGGTCCTTGAGAAAGCCAGACAGTAGAAAAAGGGAAGCATCTACTTTTACAGGAGCAGAGACGGCCCACCCACCCATAGCAGGAAGAATGCGAGGGAAGGCAGGCACAGGAGTCAGTCAAAACTAGGTTGACAGGTTGATGAAGTGGGCACGTTTCCAAATATTAATGTATATACACAAGCTTTTGTCAGTTTGATCACTACGGTAAGCTCAGTGCCTACAACAGGATTGATGACATATTAGGCGCTTAATAAGTTTTTATTGAAAGAAAAGTATTGCAGAACTGTCTTGCCCATGTGATTTTCAAAATAACCACAAGGTGGCAGGCTCATTCAACAAATCACATTATCATCTGTTTAGCTAATTCTTAGAGGGCAATAATAAATACCAAACCCAGAGAAATGTAGACTTTTTCCTGAACATTTTAGCAAAATAAAAAATAAGCTAAAACCTTAGGACATGTAAGCATTCATTTGCTGACAAATAAGACATTTTGCAACCACAAGAAAGGAAATAAAATGCGAAAATTGGCTAGGTACCCAAGAACTAAAGATATGCTTCTGGTGATATAAAATTATTTCCTCTTAAGAATTATTTCCTCACCCACTTGAATCAAAGTGTGAAATATGATATATCAAGAACTATGTAATGTTTTGAACAACCAACAATAAAAAATGAAAAAAAAAAGAATTATTTCCTCTTAAAATAACAATGCTTAATTCTTCCCAGTATATGTCACATTTGGAATATCTCAGTCACATGGATGTAAAACACAAGATTCTACAAAGTGAAACATGATCCTCTCTGAGACTACCTAATCTGTATCTGAAATACAGATTTTGAACCTTAATTTCATTTGTATAAAGAAGATGGGGGAGGTGGTTGGGGTTGTGGCTCTGCGGTAGAGCATTTGCCTAGCATATGTGATGCACTGGGTTCAATTCCCAGCACCACATAAATAAATAAAATGAAGGTATTGTGTCCATCTACAACTAAAAATATGTTTAAAATATTTTTTTAAAGATGAAGAAAAAGAGGAGGAGGAGGAGGAGCAGCAGGACTGGGAGTTTAGCTTAGTGGACAGCACTAGTATACATGAGGTCCTGGGTTCAATCCCCAGCACCACCAAAAAAAAAAAAAGAGAGAGAGAGAGATTAGATTGGCCCTTTTTCAAAGGCCCTTATTGAATCACTCTGTGCTATTCCTCATAGATAATATCTTAATGTTTATTTTTCTTTCCCAACCACCTTAGAATAATACAAATGATACAATAAAATAATACAAATTTTCTCTTTCAAAAAAGTGACATAGGTCTTGATTCTAGCATTTCTGCATGATTGATCCCTCCACTCTGCATTTTTGTTGTTTTGGTTTGCTTTCTTTGCTTACATTTTAACTGGATAAAATATGTGCACTCTTTTAGGTATTCAAATCAATTGCTTGCTTCATGGAGTTTAGGAAATGGATGGCACCCTCACCTTGCTTATTTTCCCTACCAGCAAAATGGAGATAATAAAATTAGCTGTCTGTAGTTAATTATATCATCCAAAATATTTGCTACCAGTGAGTCAGCTTTCCGTCACTTTAACGAATCCCTGAAGTAATCAACTTACAAAGAGAAGAGGTTCATTTTGGCTCACAGTTTGGGATATTCCAGTTCATGATCCATTGGCCCCATTGCTTTGGACCTGGGTAAGAGGCTCAAACACGTGGCAGGAATTCATGGTGTTTAATGGAGCAAAGCTACTAACCTCGCCAGGAAGCAAAAAAGAGAGAAGAGACCAATCCCCTTTGAAGGGAAGCTTCCAATGACTTCCCACCAGGCCCTTTTTCTTAAAGCTTCAAGTTTCTCTCCCAGTAGCACCACTCTAGGGACCAGTTCTTTAACACATGGGGCTTTGGGGACACTTATCTGAACCATAGCACTGCCCCTCCCTAGTGGAGGATTGCCCTTCTCCACCCATTGATACCAGACATGGCTGGGGGATCTGAGACGTCCCTCCACATAATAGGATGAAACCTCCTTACTACACTGAAGTCAGGAGTGACCTCATGACTGGTCTTGGCCTTAACACCTAAAAGTAATGTCGCATGTGTCACTTCTGAGCAGAAGTTTAAGAACAAGCATATAGTTCACCGTTTACCTTTCCCTTATCCCCCCAGAATGGCCCCACTTTTGAGGTAGCCATGGATACAGCCCCATGACATAGGTGGTATGGATGAGAAACGTGAATTGTTGTACACCCCTGTGGTCTGGGGCTATTTTTTATGCAGCATAACTTAGGCTAAGTGAACCGGTACAATACATTTAATGGTGGCTGTGAGCTATAACATCTGTAAAGTATTTAGCCCCAGGTGTGTTTAAGCAGCAGATATGTATTAAATTGTTCGTAATCCCTGATCATTATTCATTCATTCATTTATTCATTTCACCTGCCATGATCACCATAAAAACACACTTAGGTATAATCTAAATTCCTTTAAAAGACGTTGGCATTATTTAACATTTTAAAATGAAATTTAGGATGCAATAAAGGGGCTAAGACGTCCTCTTTATGGAAAGCAATGAAAAACACAGATGATTAAGTGCCATCTGTGGGATGCATTTGCTCAATATTATTTACTGTACAATTAATGTTCATTTCCCTGACTCCGCTACTATGCCTTTGTGGCCTCTCTAATTCAGAAGACACATGTCTCTTTGACTACTAAATACAACCAACAGGAAGAATTTCCTTAACCTAAGATTGCGATTTCCTTAATTTCATTCCATTGAATAATTTCCTTCTTCCACTTATGAGTTCACATCACCTAACAAGGGAAAATACACACTCCCTTATCTGTGCTGGAGCCAGGTAGTAATACAAGACTCACTTGGTGCCAAATTAGAATTATTTTTCAGTCCCCTTGACACCTCTGCAGGAAGATCCATTCTCATATGCCCAACAATGCAAATTCACTTCCCAGTTGGAGTCAACTTAGTATTCTTAGCACAGTTTTTATTGTCCACATGCTAACAAGAAACTTCCCAAATGATGCAGATTTCAACCTGCAGTTTCCACTAATTTTTTCAACCCAAATCAAGCATCGTGAACTCTACCCAGTCAGAAAATTCACAGCAATACTCATTGATTCACCCCTTTAATTAAAAAAAAAAAATGTCTTCACACTGCCCTTTTTTCACATGAAGGTTTGAAAGCCAGTTTGCTACAGCTGCTTTCCAAGGTTCAGGACTTAGAAGCAGGAAATACCCAATGATCGCAAACATTCCCTCTCAACTACCTCTGAGCACCATGGTTACCACTCTTGACTGGAAACGTGTCCAGAGAAACAGAGGAGAGAAGATAAGGACAGATCCCAAACCAGGGGAATTAACTGAAGCTGGCCTACTGATGATACAGTGCCCATTCCATTTCCCACAACCTGATCCTGAAAGGCTATAACTGGGAAAATACTGCCAACAGGAGACTGGAGATCCATTTCCTAAGTGCCTCTAGTCAAAACTTGTTGGACACTTACTGTGAAGCCCACTTGCCCACTAGTTTTGTCCACACAGAGTTTGAAAATTGTTCTTAAGTACTTTAGTCTTAATTATAAAAGGAGACCCATGCATCACCAGGTATTTAAGAAAACTTGTATGACCTAGAGGAGACTGGTGGGAAGGAACCCAGAGAAAACGATGCAGGAATCAGAGGTGCACACATAACATCAATATCCTCAGAGCTGCTGGAGAGGAGAGCACATTCACAAAATAAAAACAGGAAGATATGAAGCAGGCATCAGAGAGAAAGAGAGATTTCTTGGGAATTAAAAATATATTAATCAACATATACATTTCAATAGAAGTTTAGAACATAATAATAGAAAGCAAAAAAAAATATATATCAAGAAGTAGAAAGCAGGAGTGAAAAAAGGAAAGACAAAGTCCCAAAATAAGAAGTCCAACATTTCTGAAATTCCAGAAAAAGAACAGGAGAGAAGAAATTGCCCAAGAGAATATAGAAAGATTTCCCCAGAATTGAGGACCACCGCATCCAAATTAAAAAGGCAGTTTGAGTGTCAAACACAATGAGTGAAAAGATCACACCATATTGAAATGTCGAAACTGCAGAAAGAGAAGATGCCAGAGATGTCCACGGAGGAAACAAAGGAATGGAGTCAGAAATCAGAATGGCAAAACTAAAGGTAAGAAGAATTTAAAATTCCAGGGGAAAATTATTCCCAATCTAGTATTGTACACAAAATCTATCCATCGAAACAAGTAGGACAGATATTTTCACATTTCTTTTAAGGACTATTTTGACAGTCCAAAAAGGAGGGCACCCAATGCAGGGGAGTACCGAAGGGAAGTCTCAGGACAAGATCAGCACAGCAGTCCAGAAGACATTGACTGAGAGCAGGACAGGTGAACTTGGCCGGTGAGACAAGAGGAAGCTCTCTTGGTGGGTTAGCTTTCCATTGCTGTGACAAAATACCTGAGACAGTCAACTTAATTTTGGCTCAAAGTTTCAAAGAATATGGGAACCCCTGTCCCAATGGACCAAAGGGTCCATTGTCACTTGGCCCTATTGTTTTGGGACTGTAGTAGCACAGTATGCCATGGTGTGAGTATGTGGTGGAGAAAATTGTTCATCTCACGGTGGTCTGGAAGTGAAAGAAAGAGGAGGGGGCCAGGGTCCCTCTATTCCCTTTCAGGGAAAACACTTAGAAACCTAGCTTCCTCCCACTTGGCCCCACCTCCTGAAGGTTCCACCACCTCCCAGAGCATCATGGGCTGATGGCCAAGCCTTCAATACTTGGGTCTTTGTGGGGGGACATTTCAGATCTAAACTACAGCACCCAGCAAAAACTGGACTGAAGGGTTACATAATGCTTTGAAAATTTGAAGAGTAATACTGATAGATTTTGAAAGAAGAAGTGATGATAGCTTCAGATGTAGCAGAACAAATTAAAAATGAAAGTTGTGAAGAAAATGAGCCGGTATACTTTATGTGGCTCAGTGAAGGACCATAGTTATAGAGTCAGGCGATGCAAATACTGACTAATAAAAACAAATGACAGAGTGCTGGGGAGGTACATGGAAAGGGCAGAGGGAAGAGGGAAGGAGGAGCTATGGGAAGCCCCGTCCTTAATCCCTTAACAGAAATTCCATAGAAAATCCCTTAACAGAAATTCTATAGAAAATGTCCCTAGGTGACAATTCAAGAATTACAGAAAGAGCAGGACTAAGATATCAAGGAACTTAACAGGAGAACCAGCCAAAAATTGAAAGAAAATCCCCCTAAGGAAGGTGAAAAGGAAGATATGAAGGAAAGGCTATAGGGGAATGGTGTTTTTCATAATAAGCTTTTTATACTGATAGCATTTTAAATCATGTGCACATAGTACCTTTGTTTTATTATACTTTTTCTTATTAATTTTTTTTTATTTTTGTGTTTATTTTCTTTTTTGTTGTTTTTACTTTTCTTTAGTACCTTTGGTTTTAAAAGTTAACTTTAAAAAAAATAAGACACAAATTTATCATTAAGAAATTACCAATCTAATTGTGAAGATAAGACAAAAACCTTATAAAAAGAGAATAGGAATAATTAGAGTTTCAATGACAATTAAAGAATAATAGATGGCAACTCACCAGTTTGATTAATTGCCAAAAGAATGTGTCCAGAGTCAGAGGAGCACTCACTGCTGGTTTGAGGTCGTACAGGAAGAGAGGTGAGACCTAACATGGGCTTTCTTGGAAAGGCAGAATTGTCTACTTGAGCAGGAGGAGGACAGGCTAAGGAATTCTGTGAAGGTAAAAGGAGTTGTGTTAGGGAGTCAGGGGACAGAGAGCAATCCGTATAGACTGAAGCCCAGCACTTGTGTCCACTTTGGGTCCTGTAGGAGCCAACCCACCAAGGCCAATGGAGTCAGGCTCCAGAGGGTCTTGGTAGTCAGGATTAAAGTTGGGATTTCATCTCTAGACAGTGGTCTCCAAGAGGTGCATGTCCACCCTCAAGATGGCCAAGTGGACAGCAATAAGAACATATTTCCAACACTAAGTACGGAGATTAACACCACGTCCTCACCCTTGTTAGATAGCCAAGGAGCATGCGAATTTACCCCAAAGTAGTGTGAATGACTTTGACTTGACTTCCCATGTATCATCATGTTTTGGTTTAAATTGGCCTCAAAAGATGGACAAGCAGTGTAAAAACAGATCTGGAAAGAATGGCAGGTTCACCATGGTGCCTAAAAAGCAAGGACACGTGAGCTTCAAGGAGGCAGCAGAGCAGAGTCACCCGCGAGATAAATGCAATGAACTGGATAAAAGTAATAATAATAAAATAAAAAACATTAAATTGCAGCAAAATGCATTGCGATGAGGGTTTGCATCCACTGTTTCTACACAGCCTCACTCTAGGTGTAAAGTGTGCCTTAGATGACAGCTGATAACAGGGCCAAGTGTCAGGGTTAGCAAGACACTTGAAAATGCTTCCTGTTTCTGCTAAACTCTTTTTTAAAATTTCGATTGTGTGCCTTATTAACATAAGCATTTTTATGTATTTTGAAAGGGCATGTTAATTTGTATTTCATGGATTGTATACAGAATGCAAAGATGCCTCGGGAATTTCCCAAGGTCTGAGGACTGAAAAATGCTGTGTTCAAAATACTGCTGGAGGGAAAAGACTTAGATAGGATGAGGTCCATGAGTACTGACAACAGTGCAAGTGTGAAGCCATGAGCTTAAGGGGATTAATCATTCAGGCTTTGAGTTGAAATGATGGAACAAATTTTAGAATCGCTGCAAGTGATCAAGGCATGGGATAGGCAGCTGGTTTAACAAGAAAGGGTAATTTGTCACTTACTTCCTGCTAAATATAATTATCAAGGGCCTAAAGCCCAACAATTACTATGAGCTTTATGAGTATATCATTCTTTGCTCATTTCTATGGGAGAATTTGTATAATTCTGCTTAAAATCCTATTTTCAGAATCACACAGGGTATACACCTAGGAGCACTGCTTAGATGCTTTGAAACCAAGGAAATAATGAAAAGTTACAAAAAAAAATCAGTCTTCCCCATTTTTATGGAGCTTTCACATTAATTAGATGCTTGAGGCATAAACACATAGACGATGGTTGACATTTCTAAGGTGTTCATTATATCCCAGGCCTTGTTCTAAGAAATATCCAAAATCGCCTCACTTAATTCTGACCGAAAAAACCCTATTAGTTGATTCAGTTTTTATCTCTGTTGCATAGATGTGGAAATCTATGTCAAGAGAAGATCAACAATTTGCTCACAACCAACTGTCCGTCTTCAAGACCATCTGACACTAAGGATTCCTGAAGTTGCTCAAAGACACCTTCACAAGACTCATATTTCCTTTTGAAATATCAAGCTATTCCATTCTATAAGTTTTCCAGGTTTTTTCCTCCAAAATATGTGAGTTGGAAATTATCAAGATTGTTTCCTGCTCACTGGGAAAGACACAAGTCTCCAATTCTAGACACAACCCACAAATGGACAGACACAATGTAGTGAGTTGAATACACAAAAGAACTGAGGTCAATGACCCAAAAGATGGGGTGAGAAGTTGTCAGTTGGGGAATAACATGAAATAAAGGAACAATGACTGACTAGCACCCAATAGGAATTTTGTTGAACATAGACTTGGAAGATCAGAGACTCCATTTGTTTCTACAGCTACTATAACAAATCACCACAAACTCAGTGGTGTGCACAACAGAAATTTTCTGTCTCCAGATTCTGGAGTCCAAAAGCAAAATTCTTCCTTGCCTCTTGTTCACTCCTGGCACCTGCCACCATTCCTGACTGTGGCTACAGCACACCAACGTCTGCCTTGGTCATCACATCACTTTCTCTTTGTGTCTCTCTTATGTGTCTTTTATGAGGATATTTGTTTGAATTTGGGGCCCACACAACAATCAGAGTAATTCCCCCATCTCAAGATCTTTAACTTAATTAAGTATGCAAATAAGGTAGTGTTCAGACTGGGATGGGGATGTATGTTTTGGGGGAACAAGGCATCATTCAGCCCACTTCAGAAACATTATCCAAAACTAGCCAACTGAGTTAAATAGTCAAAGTATACAACTAATCCAAAGTCTAAGAAGACAGAACAAAGCAAATTGAAAGACAGCAAATATACTTGTACAGGTAAGAAGATGCAATCTTTAGGCTCTTAAAACGTACAGAAGGATGTATAAATCGGGTAACTGTCCATTCAAATATTGGCCTGTTTGGAACAACACATATGAAAAGAGAATTAAATTTAGAAAAAAAAAATTAAATATTTGTAAAATGAAGGCCTTTAAAACCAAAGGATGAAATATTTGATCACCAATAAGAGAAAGCTTGGAAAATTAATTGATGGGCCCAAGCCCAGCAGGCAGAGGCTCTGGAGAAAAAAGGCTCTTTCACCCATCTCAAGATAGAGGCATGCTGCTAATACATTACTGTTGGCTCTCTGGGTACTGATGTTAAGTGAGACATCAGGCACTGCAGGATCTCAGGAGGTGGGGGCTTGGGTGTACGTAACATGATGCATCAGGAGACCCCAGACCATTACCACTGTCTGAGCTGCAGCCTGAGAATGCTCAAGGCTTCAGTGTTGGGCTCTGTGGCTCACACAGAGTACTGTCCACACCAGTCTAGGGGACCCCTGCTTGTCCTTTGCCTTTTTGAAGCTAATTGGCAACTTTAATTCAACCACGTGGTTTTAGGCCATTTCTGGCCCAGACCACTGATTCTAAAGTCTGTAAGTTCCCTCCTTGAGGACTAGCATTCTTGTGTCAGAATGCAGTGTTCAGGGAGGCTGTGGAATCCTTCCTCTGAATGTGAGTGCACGTTCCCCTCTGCCTGGAAAGATTCACATAAAGTTCTGGGATTACCTGGAGGATTCACCAAGGAGACCTCTGAAGGTCCTGCCCTTCTCAAGGGACTCTAAGGTCTGGCTTTCCCATGTGTTCTCCACATCAACGAGGCCAGCAGTGAACAAGCTCTATAATCAAAGGGGCAAAAATTCTCTCAAGGCCCATCTCCTTACACACACACAACACAGCCCTGAGTTCTAATATCACAAAAATACCATATCACACCAGGGAATGTGAAATGTCAAAGGCAGAGTTCTCATGCCTGTCCCAAAAGCCTGCTAGTTTAGGACAAACTCTACCCTGTTCTGGAGAAATGAAACAACAGCAAAGACAAATTGTGGGTGTATGCAGACATACACACACATCCAAATTTTTGCATATGTAAGTGTGTGTCTATATGTATATATACATGTATATATTATAATGTCCATATACATATGTATAACACAATATATAATATAGATACAAAACACATATGTTCCTGGGAAGTGTCCTTTCTTTTGAAAGTCTATCTTATCTTTTATAGGAAATTGTTCTTTCCTTATGAACTGATGGGAATAGATAATTATAGCTGTTCAATTATTAATTCATATATTTCAATGCCATTACTTGGGGAAAATGTTTTGAAGTAGCTGTCTTTCTTTTTAATCTTTCAATCTTTTAATCTTTTTAGGTTGCTCATAAAATCTCGAAGTCTGGGAGTCCCTGTGATAGCTTTACAATGACTCTGGAAAAAACCTTGAGAATCCTCCAAAGCTGTTTTCCATATAAGACAGTCCCTGCTCAGATCCCTGGGCTTTGCTGTTCTATACTCTCCAGGAAGCTACAGCAGGAGGCAGGGAGGCCAGGACCCTCACCTCCACTCAAATACCAACATGCAGGACAGATGGAAAGCCGGCCTCAGCTCAACCAAAGCTACAGGGAGGGCACCCCATCATGCAAACCAGTAAGGAAGCAGCCTCACCTAGCCACCTGCTATTCCCTCCCCACCCACTTGTTGTAAGCCTTCTAGAATAAAATGGATATGAAGCTTTAATTTAATTGAATGAATTCACATCCTTATACTGCATTTAATTTTTATTTATTTATTTATTGGTACTAGGGATTGAACCCAGAGGCACTCAACCACTGAGCCGCATCACCAGCTCTCTCTTTTTTTTTTTTTTTGTATTTTATTTAGAGACAGGGTCTCCTGAGTTGCTTAGGGCCTCTCTAAATGACTGAGCTGGCTTTGAACTCCAAGTCCTTCTGCCTTAACCTCCAGGGCCACTGGGATTACAGGTGTGCACCACAGCGCCCAGCTAAAAAATTTTAATCATTATGATTTTAGATTTAAATCTTCACCAAAGTAATATTTACAGCATTTTAGTTTTCTGGAGATAGATTGGAGAGAGATAGACAGACAGACAGACATTATGTATCCCAATACAGGTCAAAATCCCTTATGGTGATTTACTCACATGCTCATATTATCACATCTCCCTTCTTTCCAATCTCCTGAATGGAAGGAGGGAAATGTGTAGAAAATCTCCTGTGAACAATTAGAGAATTATACATTTACACAATATGGGGGTTGGAGCAAGAAACAAAATAGGGACTTACTGTTTAAAAAAAAAAAAAAAAAAAAAAAGTTTACTGTGTTCCTTAAGATGCATTCTTGACATTTCTGTGAACCACGTGTGGCACAAAAGTGTCCACGAGGGGGCACTGCAGTCAAGGCACACAAGAACATCTTCAAAACCATTAATCTGCATAAATTCAGGTCGTTTTGTAAATATTGTCAGAAGTGAACTGTTTTTGCACTGCAGAAGGCCACCATTTTCCAGATATGATTAGAAGAAAATTGCACAAGGCGCTTTTTGCTGAAAAAAAAATATGTATCCATTTTCTGGCAGTAATAGCTAAAAAGCAGCTGACTCCAGCATTCAGAATTGGCCCCAAACTAAGGTCAATGCATGTGCGCTCAGGAAACCTGAACCAGCAAAGGAATGTTAACAAAACGGTCAGGCCAGAGATAACATGCGGGTCTTGCAAATGTCAAATTTTGCTCAGCTGAAAACAACCTCCTCTCTTACCCCTACTCTCCCTTACCCTGTCACCCCTGCTGATATCCATAAACAAGGAACTTTAGATGACTTATGCAAGGTTTAAGCAAGATTTAAGAGTGGCAGACATTTAATTTAATAATGCACTGGGTATCACAGCTGAGCAAGGGCACAACCTCATGGGAGAAGGTCAGGTGGCACCCTCCTGGTGATGGAGGGGAGGGAGACCAAGGGTGAGTGCAAAAGGCCATAAACATGTGTTCCAATCCAGCTTAAAAGCAGCTGGGTTTTATTTTGTCATTAAACTAACCACTCTTAAAGGGATTTGATTTGTTCATTAAATGAAAAATAAATTTCTTGGACTGAGAGTTCCTAAGAAAAGGAATGATGGGACCCAGGAAGAAAACTTCAACAAAGGCACAGTCCAGGCACTCACCACCCAAGCCAGGCCCCTCCGGCCCCTGCTCCTGGCCTGAGCTTCCTGGCCTGCCTGTTAAGGCAGCCACAGGTGGCCTTATCCACACTAAGGAGTTGCCAGAGCCTAGGTCATTGTGACTGGTGAAGATTTCCTTTCACTGGTGCCGGGGTTGTGGCTCAGTGGTAGAGTGCTTGCTTAGCACACATGAGGCACTGGGTTTGGTCCTCAGCACCACATAAAAATGAAATAAAGATATTGTGTGTCCACCTCCAACTAAAAAATAAAGATTTCCTTTCACTTGGTCAGTTATGTAGATTGAACAACACTCCAAAATGTGTCTAAGTCCTAAATACCACCCCTTCCATGTGAAAGTGACCTTATTCCAAGACTCTCTTTGCAGATGCAATCAGTTAAGAGGAGGTTCTTAGGTGGACCTCACCTCGGCGTGACTATGGTCATTGTAAGGAGAGGAAATATGGACAGAGAGATGCCATGGACTGACTGAGGCAGAGATTGGGGTGATGCATCCACAAGCCAAGAAAACCAGGGGATGCTGACAGCCACAGCAGCCAGGAGAGCCGCAGGGACCCGAGACTCCCCTGAAGTCTCCAGAAGGAACCAGCCCTGCCCACACCTTGATTTCAGGCTCTGCAGCACCAGAATTGAGAGAAAGTCAATTTCCGTTGTTTCAACTCATCAAGTTCATGGATCTTCGTAAGGGCAGCCCTGGGAATCTGACACTTCCAACCAAACTGGGAAAAAGCAGAGTGGAATTTGGGGAATGGCAATGAAGAGAGATTTAAGTGACAAAGCACACAGCTTTATGGACTTTTTTTTCTGTTTTCTCCTTTTCTCCCCCTTTTTTTTTCTGACTACCCCATACTCAGATTCCTACTTGCAGTATAAAACATTTTAATTTCTTTTTAAAATATTTTTTAATTGTTAAAAAAAAAACTTTAGTCTATTCATTTATTTTTATGTGGTGCTGAGGATACAACCCAGTGCCTCACACATCCAAGGCACGTGTTCTACCACTGAGCTACAAAAGCAGCCCCTTTTATTTCTTTTTCATTTTTATTTATTTATTTATTGGTACTGGGAGATTGAACTACTCAGGGGCCCTCGACCACTGAGCCAAATCCCCAGAGCTATTTTGTATTTTATTCAGAGACAGGGTCTCACTGAGTTGTTTAGCGCCTGGCTTTTGCTGAGGCCGGCTTTGAACTCACAATCCTCCTGCCTCTGCTTCCCCCCGGCTGCTGGAATTGCAAGTGTGTACCACCACACTAGCTTATTTCTTTTTAAATGCTCAATTCCTGGTGATTTCTGGAGACATGTTCCTTGTCTTTTCCAGTGCATTTTATAGGCCTCAAAGGCCTAAAATCTCACAGTCCTGTTGACATTTTTAAAACACTTTCTCCCTGGAGAAAGCTTATATGTGAGTAACTCAACATATTTAATGTAAATGTTCCCCTATTCTTCTGACAGCTAAAGGAAGAGGTAAGGAAAGAAATAGAAAAAAAAAAAAAAAGGCTTTTAAACTTAAGGGAACCCAGAGCCAAGTTAAGCATCCTAGGTCACACAGGCTTTTAGTGGATGAACAGGGCTTAAGGGACAGATTCCCCGACTCCTTGTAAAGCCTCTCTTAAGTCTCACACAATTATATTCTCTGCTTAATTACCCAACTATGGGAGAAACATGAATATATCTTCCCAAATGAAGGTCAAGCAGCAGAGCCTTTGGGGGTTCTTTTGTGTACCACCATGTACCACATAATCACACTCTGGTCAATGGCAGATGGCACCTGCGGCTGTGATTCCATAAGATTATAGTGGCACTGAAAAATTCCTACTGCCTAGTATTTTTACGACAGCTTTTAGTTGTCCACGGTGTTTGGTACAGTGAGACGCTGGGCAGGTTTGAAGCCTAGGAACCACTGGCTGTACCATACAACCAAGGAGTACGTTAGGCTACACCATCCAGGTTTCTGTAGGTAACTCAGTCATATTCCCACAAGGACAAAACTGCCTACCTAACAAGTCATTTCTCAGAATGTGTACCTGTCGTGAAGTGGATATTTTAGATAGAAACATCTCCGATGTTTTGAAAATTCATAAAAGCTCAAACAAAACGGTGCAAATACACTGTCACGCTCTAATTCTCCAGGACCTACTAAGAGATTTTCATTCCGCAAAAGAGCCATTCCACCATCTAGAATTGCAGGGAAAAAAAATCAAGGCACAAACAGAACTAAATCTCCCCTAATTTCCTGGCTCCGCATGTCCCTGACACAGGAAGGTCTTTAGCTTACTGACCCTGACATTCTCTGCATGACACAGCCCTTCAGAACGCTTTCATGGGCCTAAGACTAATTCCCTCTGCCAAGACCACATCTTAGAGATCTGGCCCAAGCCAGGACAAAATACCTAACGACATCCTCCTGGGATTAAAAAAAAAAAAAAAAAAAAAAATCCCTTCTTCTCATTGTGCTTTTGCAGATTTGGAACAAACTAAAATTACCAAAAGCACGGTTATAGTTTAGATATGAGGTGTTCCCCCAAAAGCTTATATGTGAGACAATACAAGAAGGTTTAAATGATTGGGTTATGAGAGTCTTAACCCAACCAGGGAATTAATCTCCTGATGGGATTAACTGAGTGGTAACTGAAGGTGGGTAGGGTGTGGCTGGAGGAGGTGGATCCTTGGGGGTATGCCTTTGGGGTATATATTTTCATCTAGTTAGTGGAGTCTCTCTCTCTGCTTCCTGATCATCATGTGAGCTGATCACCTGGAGTCCCAGGAAATGGAGCCAGCTGTCTGTAGACCGAGACCTCTGAAACTGTGAGCCCCCAAATAAAATTTTCCTCCTTAAAATTGTTCATGTCAGGTCTTTTAGTCACAGTGGCAAAAATGTTCATTGAAACAAGCTCTAAAAAAAAAATTAAAGGGGAATCCAAGAAAGTCACGGAAGAACCAAAACATGCTGAGTTTTTCCCACAGCCCACAGGTCCTCTCCCTGCCCACCCCAGCTAACACCAATTCAGAGGAGGATGACCACCTGTGGCCTCCTTGCTTTCCAGCCACCAAGTCATCGCCATGTGAAAAGTGCCATCCCACTTCCCTGCCACCTTGGGTCCTAGACAGATCACCCTCTGGGATCATTACTGACCTAAGGCCAAATCTCCAACCAGGGTGACAGATGTTCACATATACCCTCTGGCTTGTGGGGGATGGTTGGGTGTGGTTCAGTCCCTGACAAATTCTTATCATGGAAGAATTATGGAAAATATAAGCTTAAAATAAACATGACATTCATGCAAAATGAATCACCTATACGTCACGGCCTGGGTTGAGTTCAGTGAAAGCAAGCCTGCTGAAGGGATCCAGGATAAGGCTACAGGACAGAGTGGATAAGATGGGAGTGACACCAGCAGGGAGAGGCAGCAGGAAGGGGGAGCTGAGGAGGCAGCTGTTGGGCAGTGGGATTGGCCGGGTTCTGGAGATGTAAGAGCCAGAGGGGCAGAAGGCAGGAACTCTCTCCAGAAATGGATTGTGCTGTTACAAAGAACATGG